ACACTTAGGTGGGTGTTAGAGGCCGGTCAAGAAAAGGGAAAGTTATTCTTTGAAAAATTTTACAACGATAGATCCACTCCCTGGTTTAAAGGCATAAACCTGTCAAGGAGTCTTATCGTCACGATAAATCGCTGTCGCGCAAATTACTACAATCTGGCTGCGTCATTAGCGAGAGTTAATATTGTTAACGAATCGAAATGTAAATGTCAAGACTCCAATGAAGATTTGGATCATGTCATATGGCAGTGCCATCTATACGATGTTCCGAGAATTACCTTGTACAACAGTTTGGCTAAGTTAGCTTACTTCCCCCCGTTTCATTGTGATGAATTCCTGTATGATCCTAACTTTAAGGCCTTCAAACAAATTTGTAAATTCCTAGAGGAATGTAAATTGAATATTTAAATTTATATATGTGGAAACTTTGTAGCTATAAAAGCCATTAAGGTCTTAATAAAGCTCATTTTCAAAAATAAAAAAATATAAATAGTATGCTATATATATATATATATCGCCAAGCGAACATGGTTAGGTTGCCCTGTTTCGATTTGACTTTTAATACACAGCAAAATAAATAGTAAAATAAATAACTATGTTATTTTAATGAGTTTCCATTAAAAAAAGAATAAACCAAAATCGAATGTATTAATTTTTGTTTGTTCCATTTTTGGTAGACTTGTCAATAACTCCCAAGTTGAAAAAGATTCAAATCGAGAATGAAGGAGAAACTTTTAGTATTCTTGTTAACAATAATAAAATAAGCAAGTCCACACTGATGGATCGTTCTCGATCCCGGTGGGGGATTTTTGACTTACAACGTAGAAGAAGAAACATTTTCTTACAAAAATTTGCGATCTTGGTTTGGGGAAATGTGACATCTTGAAAAGCAGCTTGGCTTCGACTATGCGATGAGGCATGTGCGGTATGTACATGTACATGGCTCCGAGATTTTTTTACATAGAGAAGAAGCAAGTTCTACTTGTGATGTGTGGTCTTTTGGATGCTGCATGTGATTGAATTATTCAATGAAACACCTGTCTGGGATACGACAGGCTTTTCCTGCTCTTGATATCAATTACAATTGTAATGTATTTAGAATATCGAGATAGTGTTTAAAATTTTTTGTTTTATTCTGCTACAATCATTAATCAATAGTCTAAAACAATTATTAAATAATCATGGTAAAACAGCAGTGCTGTTAAATAGATTGTCATATCATACTTATTAGCTTGAATATAAAGTGGTTTATTATCGGGAAGGTTTTATTTTATTATATTATTTTTACAAGTGACTATTGTATTAGTGTAATAAGCTTAATTGTTTGACAACCAATGAAAAATTTTTATTGAGTACTTTGTTGATTTAAAGTAATTTCATTAGAATACTATTTAAGGATTTTTCGCTTTGAAGAAAAGTCAATTACTGATTTTATTAGAATACTATTATAAGATTGTTCGCTTCGAACAAAAATCAATTACTGGTAATTGATCAAAGAACACCAGTATTGTGTAAACTGAATGTGATGTTAGTACAATGAATAAGTGAGATTTGATAAGTATGTAACAATTATAGAGATTTTGTACATACAATAGTACTATATATTTGTTTATTCCAAGTGATACATTTTTACGTGATAAAAGGTGTAAGGTATGATTTAAATTGTATTAATTATGTATTTATTTATTAAATAAATCATTAACCAAACCAAACACAATAGTTTTTCTTTTTACAGTACTCTCAGTTAAAAATTTATAGCTACAATTATACCTATAAATTATAGCTATAATTATAGCTATAATCACCTATAAAACAGCTATAATAATGTATTAAATTCAGCTATAAATATAGCTATAAATTACAGCTGTAATCTTTTCACAAATTTTGAATAAAAATTAGTTTAAAATCAGATTTTTTCAACATATATCGATCAGTATAGACTGTATCATCCGTATGACATCAGTAAAACTAAGGGCCTAAAGTATTTTTAAACAATTTTTAAAAAACTTGAAATTGTATATGATTTCTTGTTTTTTTTTCTACTTATTCAAAAATACTTCAGGCCCCCAGTTTTACTGTTATCATACGGATTCTACCATCTGTGCTGATCGATATAAGTTGAAAAAATCTGATTTTAAACTATACCTATTACGATTAAAAATTTACTGGCAAATGCTACACATTTATTGAACATTAACTAAAATGTTTATCAATATAACACAACAACCCAAACACCAAAGTAAAGTGTTATAGGTTTCATTGAAATGCATCATTAGATTTCAATGAAGTCTGAGCCATCTAAAACAGGAAAAAAAATTATATACATGCCATCATGATATGAATGAAACAGTGCAGTATAGTTGGTGTCAATAATTGATTAGTTAAGTATACATAAGGCATTTCACGAGAAATAGGACAAAATATAGTTCTTTTTTTTTTCATTCTAGGGATTGAAAGAACTTCATGGGAAAACATTACTGAAATTTTTTTAGATTTTTTGACGAATACCTCTGCAGTCAGTGATTGTCAGATATTTAGATTTTTTTTGTCTCAAAGAAAAATATTCTTTATTTTGTAGACGAATCGATGCGTATATGAAAAAAAACAAAAAACAGTTGGTATTTTTTCCATAGAATGTAACAAAAATACTTTGAAAATTTTGAGGTTAGGGTTCCTTTTGTTTTTTAAATTTTTATTTTTATCATCGATTATTCAAAATGTGTGCCGACTTTTTTTTTTCTTGAAAGTTAGCCTAGCAAATGCCCTTTAATAGTTATTTACGTAACAAGTGCGAAAATGACGATTTCCTGCACGAGTAGTGATTGACTCACACCAGTGCCGGAGTTGACGGGAACGAGTACCAGTTGAGCATACGAGTGCGTAGCACGAGTGTGATCGCAAGGTACGAGTTACCGGTCACCGGCCACGAGTGCGAGTCTATCACACGAGTGCCGGAAATCGTCCCGCACGAGTTTCGTACAAGTTTTTTCGCAACAGTGTGCGGAAAATGGATGTTTTCCGCACTGGTATCAGTGTGGAAAATCGATTTTCCCACATAGTGTGCGACAAAGGTTTTTCCGCACAGTGTGCGGAAAAGGTGTGTGGAAAAGGTTTTGCCACACACCGGAAAAAATTTTGCTACACACTGGAAATCAAAATTCAAACCTATTTTGTACCTATTTTCCTCACACATTGCGAAAAAACTTGTACGCAACTCGTGCGGGACGATTTCCCGCACTCGTGTGATGGACTCGCACTCGTGGCCGGTGACGGTAACTCGTACCTTGCGATCACACTCGTGCTACGCACTCGTGTGCTCAACTGGTACTCGTTCCCGTCAACTCCGGCACTCGTGTGAGTCAATCACTACTCGTGCGGGAAATCGTCTTTTCCGCACTTGTTACGTAAATAACTATTT